TTAATTTGGTGGAAAATCTGAACAGGCAATAGTTACACATAGTACATAAAATACACTTCGCCTGAACGAAATTATTACCCGTATCAGAAAGCAAAGCCATAAACTAACACTACGCATTAGCTTTGAGAAAACATCTACGATAATTCCGTTCACACTTTGGATGTAACAATCGACAGGCAAATACTTTTCACGTAATTTCCAACACCAAAAAGGTGTGGATCAATGCTTATTTGCTTATTCAAACATTGCAAACAAAAACATGAGTCTTAATTGACTTAAGACCGGCTTCTAGGCACATAGATAGTGTAAAATTGTCCTATATAATGAAAAAAACTGACAAAAGAGGCTCCAAGGATAAGTTAAAGCGAAGTGTTTCGAGATGGATTTTGTAATTTGCTTTATGATGACAAGTGTAGTCACAATCTGCCATGGTAAAAAAAGCAAATAACTCGGCAGATGATATTTCAACTCTGGGTGTTTAAAATGTACAGAATGTATTAAATATACACTGATCACTTTCTTATGTTATGCTCGACTTTGTTGTGAAGCAAGGTTTTTTTCTCGCTGCGTTCTAAAATATCGTTAGCGGTTTTTCAAGCTGCCTCGGCATTTATTCAAAACGGTAAGGCGTACTTACGAGGCCTCGTGCCAGATGCAGCGAAACATCCCAAATGACTTACCCAAGGGAGGTTACTATAGCTTTGCCTAGTTATAATAGGATGTATTTGCGACGGCCTAATTCTACTGGTATCATTGTTTCAGGCTATTATGATCGCAAGTCAGTAAAATTGACAGTTAGATCAACGTATGTAGGGGACTACTTCCTTACCACTGTTCGAATTATAAACATTCGCTCTGTATGGAGACCAAATCCTATACCAAAACTAAATGACCACTTGCATATGATAATGATAGATGATTTAACGTCTCACAAAAGTCCTTCTTCGACCACGAGTTAAATGGCCATAAATTTTGATTATTTAGTACTGTACACTGGATTTGACTTCGTAACTTAGGCACACCGTCAACACGTTTCTCTTACCCATGCATGTAGAAATGGCTGTGCCTGATATCAAATATCTTTGCATTGTTCTTGGGTGTTGAGGGTGACAAATTAGCAGGGTTGTAGGGTGGTCAAATATCCCAAGAAAGTAAAGTTCACATTTGTTGCTGCCCTTTTTGGAATAAGGAGAAACGTCAGTAAATATGAACCCCAAATCACTCGAAATAGTAAGATGTACCGATAGTCTTCACTAGATGACCCTCGTGGTGTGGTCAAAAACAAAAACATGTAGGGCTTATGTGACACCGCCAAGGCAGAAATAACATCGGTGATAATGTAAATTTGAAACAAGATTCTATGAACGCCAACTTGGGTTATGGTAAGTGACTATTCCCAAGGGAATGTGGGGTAGCTGCGTGAGCAGAGAATTTTAAAAGAAATTGAAATTTTGGCAGTGACAAATTAACTCGAAAGTGAAAATTACCTTTACACTGCTCAGAAGTCAAAATTATACATTCATCAATAATGTACTTTTTATTTCTTTCGATTGCTATACTTAATATTACGGTACGATTGTAGTGCCTAAATAAGCCTTATGTAAACGGACGGATATGTAACAGCTACCAGATCTTGGTGAAACGCCTAATGTTGACACATTAAACGTGAAATGAATGTTTCGAGAAAATTGCGGTACCATTCTTGGTAAAAATAAACGATAAATTCTTAAAAGATGCAGTATTTGTACAGTTCCGGAAACAGGGTATGTTACGGTAATATTTCGTGCAAGGAACTTCTGTGGTTAAAAAACCGTTTTCCTAAATGTGACACGACGTTTTCACAAAACACGTTTGCAACAGAAACAAAAGGTGAATTTTGCATTAGGTTTTAAATAGGTCTGCATATCTAGAATCAATTGGTTTTACATAAGGTCATAACTCCCTACTTAAAATTGAGTCAAAAGGACGATTAAATTGTTTGTTCAGGAGTTTGGTGGTTTTGTAGTAAATATGAATGATACTGCAAAAATAAACTAGATTATTGCCATAAAAATGCGAAAGTATAATAAAATATGCCTAGTACTCTATAGATAAATTACAAATTTACAAATCACCGGCGGTTTTTAAGACAAACAAAAAGAGTAAATTTCATTGATAAAACTTGACCTCGTGGGTGCTGAAAGTAGATACGGATTAGAACTTAAAGATGTTCCAGAATTAAGCAAAATATGTCCGGTCTGCCTGATAAACTGCACTATGAAAATAGGCTGGATCTCATTCATAAACTATTTTTATAGGTAAACCATGGTATTTGACCGATGAGATCATGTGGCTGCAATATCCACTCATTGCAACACATTACTGCACTTTACACTAAATATGTCTTACTTTTTTTAAATTCAAAAACTTTTCAATCTCGATGTCTCGGTTATAGGTTTAAATCCACTACGATGATTATATACCTTTATATTTTCCTGACGGCTAGGCAAACGTTCACCTTTCTAGGAAATTATTGCGTCCAGAGATAACCTTGGCAAAATTTGCGCGTGACCTCAACATAGGAACATTCACTTCGGCGTTACCGGCTTGTTGTGTACTTCTATAACCTTTGGAATAAAAAGGCATGGCAGATAGAGGCTGAATTGGCTTCTAATTATGGTGCACATTTAAGCACTAAGTTAGGCAAATCTGCAAGACATAGTTCTGGCATCACAGTGCCCAATCAAATGGAAGCACGCAAAAACGTGTGGATGGTGAATCATTAGTTTGGGTACTCAGTTCCATTAGTGTAGGTCTCGTGTCCTATCGATTGATAAAAAAGGCTACTAAGAAGATGTTAAAAATAGCCAAAGTGGAAATTTTACATCCAATTTTCGACTGGCAACAGGTGCTCACCTACGAAAGGTAGCATAGTCAGGATGACCGGTGTCTCTGCTCTCAAACAAGATGCACAAAAAGTGCAGACAAAGGAAGTGAGAGAACACTTGTTTACAGTCTTTGGAATTTAGGAGATGGTAGCAAGGAAATTCAAGCCCATATCCTGAATAAAAAACGTTTTAGGAAGTGACGCAATGGTAGTAATATTTTGGAAAGAAAGATGAACTCAAATGCCGAATAACATGGCCTGAGTGGATGATTTCGTTAGTAACAAAGGTCATAATATCTTCAAGTCGAAAACAAATCATGCAGGTATTTGTAGCTCCCCATTTTAGTCGTTAAATTCACTTTGAAGTATAAGCCAAAATCTGCCTCTGCTTTTGAATAATTTTACCAATGCTCTTAGCTTAACAATAGCAGACTATCTACAAAATGCACTTGGCCTGACTAGCAGCAGCCCTTACTTCATACGTTGACACGATGATAAAATCATTAGTAGACATTCAATTCGACAAAGATAACGGTACCATGACTGGGCCTGTAGTAGAAAGCATGCAGCAAAACATTATCCACACACCTAGCTGTGGTGAAGCATTGTAAATAATCCGTGCGCCTTAGAACAGAATACCGTATTTTCTAAATATGTAAGCACAAAGTCTTGATTTTGCCAATGGTCCTGGTAACTAACACACTTGAGGGTAACTTATGCCGGCTTGTTTTAAAAATTTAACTATTGACTAATTGAATGATTAAAAAAGGACTCGAAGCCAAGTGGTTTGACAGGTTTTTAAAGTGCTTAGTTACGCCGCTTGTCAGTAGTTATAATAATTAAGATGAAGTGCCTGAGAAAATGTAGGACATTTTGGCTGAAACGGTTGAGCAGGACTTGAGTTTACTGAATCTCATAATTTTTTTTCTAATGGCTTCTCTCTTCAATCTAACATCCAACACTCATAGAAATTTTGGCTGTTCGGACTACCTATGCCATCAAAATTTATAATAAGCATCCATCTGTGGGGTCATCTTGTAAGAACCACATCAACCCCAGGCCAAATCACCTAGAAAATCAATCTTAGAAAAAGGTTCATAAATCCAGGATAGGCAAAAAACACATTAAATGACGCTTGGTTCTGGAAATTTTAATGGTTTTTCTCCTGCAAATATTTTTGTGTGTAGAAATATCAGAGGTCATTTGGGTTGTGAAAAACCGGCTTTTGATTGCAAAATGGACAAGCCGCGGCAGAAATTTGTCAATATGCTCTTAGTGGACCCTGGTATTATGAGTTTTAATGATGTGGCTGTTCGAAACAATTATGCTTTTCATTTCAAAAGTATTATGAAAAGCGCTCTTGAGAAGCGCCAGTGTGAAATTGAAACGGCAATTGTTTGCATAAATTTTGGCTAACTCCATAGATGTTACCTTTGATAATTGCCTCACACTTTGACTATTAGAGAGCCAACAAAATGCAGATTGTAAAGAAATGAGTGATTCTAGTTGACATTTTTTATGGTGGTTACAAAGCACCATAGAATCTGGTGGGGGCCCAATATTTGGAAGCAGAAATGCATTCTTTCAGAATGAATTTTTTATGCTTAGAAGACAACGTGATGCGTATTCTAGTATGGGCAAACCAAAATCACAAGTCAAGGGACAAATTGCACTTTTAGAATAGTTTACGTCAATAAACAAAGGAACAGGAGGCAATTTAAATGCCGATTGGATACTTTGGTAAATAAATATCTGGATGGAAAATTCTTCGATGTGGCAGACTGAAACTTAAGTGTGTGTGCATGAAAAATGCTCAACAAGAGGTGTAGAGAAATCTAGATAAGGCAAAACCTTTATCACTCTTCACTTGTTTTATTATGATTTGTTGTATACTTATAAATACATTTTAACCTTTTTTTTATTGATTCCCTGTCACTCGCCATTAAAAAAATATAATTCTCTGCCGAAATTTCTTCCAATGGTTGTCCACATTAACAGATCCCTATTTACTACGTACAAGGCTACACCAACTGCCACAGTTTTTCTTAAAGGCCAAAATTACCTGCATTAGGGTGTCAAGTTTTGAAAGACAAGGGACAGACTTACACACATTAACAAATTTTAGTTTACTTACTCAACTGATCATGCTCCGCGGACGCACATGCCGCCCGTAGGGTAAGTTGGCAGTCCCAAAACTGGCAATAATTAACCTCTTTATCGCCATCTGATTGGGGTGAAATCTGCCACATGAAACGAGATGAAGAACCTTTGCTCTGCATGCGGAAGACCAAAATGTCAATACTACCGGATTAATTAATGCATTTGTACAAGCCAGCCAGAACAAGGTCAACTGTGTTTCGTTTGAAAGGTGTGGCGTAATCCACAAGGCCTGCAACACCTGAACAAACTGGTATGGAAGACTGAATAAAATGAACGCAGATAGAAGTACAGTGAATGGAATCATTGAACCAAGGTCTTTTAGTTTTTTGTGTCGCTGCCTGAATTTATTCAAGGACGAGTGAGATCGTGCAGACCTCCACCACGCAACCTTTACAGTAGGTCGTGACTTCATGGTGTTGCGTTCACAATCGATCAGATGACTGGTAGTTTGGTGAACAGAAGGGTCCCGCTCTTGTAAGTCACCGTCAGACGTTATAATTGATCTCGCTGGTATATTCGATAAAGCTGCTGCGGCTTTGCTGTTTCGCTCTCCTTCATTCTCTTGTCCGTTAACTGAAGCACCATCCTGTCGATGTCTACTGATTGTGTCTGCTTCTCTGAAGAAATTTCTCGTGGACTGAGACCCGTCAAGGTCCACATTAGGCACAACGGCAGTCCGTCGGCTAAGCCGGGAACCCAACGTTCGACTAGTACATGGAAGCTGTGCAAATAATTCCTTTGTTCCCACGGTCATATAATTTCCCCGATGAATCCGCATTTGGACGGTTTTTTTAGGGACCGATTCAGAAAGCCCGTGTGACGTGCTTAAGTTTTTCGGGGGCCCGTCTTCATTGTTTAACTGATGTTCCGGTTCTTTTACTTTCAGCACCCCTAGGCGGAATCCCTTGCTACTTGCAATGGCAACCCGAAATGCCAAAACATTTATCACCACAGCTGCCGTCAATGGAAAAACGAATCGCAGTATAAACATGAACACTAGGATTACCCGAAGAGCAAACGTAGTTGAATACGTCCAATCGTAAGGTGGAGATGTTGATGTCACATTTCTTGTCTGTCCCACAAGTTCGGCTGTAAAAGCAATCAGCTGAGGTAGAATTATCACAAATGCAAGTCCCCAGGAGAACATCAGGCTCAGCCGCGCTCGGGAAAACGTTAGCAAATTTGGGTAACGCATTGGACGACAAATCGACAAATACCTGTCCAACGCTATTAAAAAAAGCGCGAAAACGCGGCCATTCAATAACAATCCCCCGCCTGTGAGCCAGTAAACGTGAAACGTTCCATCGTACGTCATGTTATTACCGGGCAAATCAATTACCATCAAAGGAGGAACAATAAAAATTCCAGTTAGCAAGTCAACCGAAGCCATGTTCAGCAGAAATATTTGGGTTTGTCGTGTAAGGTACTTCTTTAAATGTAGCAAGGCCACAATTATGATGACGTTCGCCAAACATATGCTGAACGCAAAAACAAAGCCAGCAATGCATTTGAGAAGATTAGGTAGATTACTAGATAAGCTCACGGCCGATGCGTTTGTCAACATACCTCACATTGGTAAAAGTCTGTCTTAAACCATCGGCGCTTGTGTTTGTGTGCGTGCGCGTGCGTGGGTGTAAGGTAACGACCAAGTGACGCGAATTGCCCTACGGACTATTGCCACCAAGCACAACGAATCAGATTAGTTTCACAAAATTACCCAATAGGAGAAGTACGTAACAAAATGGTGCGTACCATTCCTATAAGGCAGATCATCTAACTTATGTGTGACATTAAACAATGTGGAGGAAGCGTTGTTCTGTAAACTGCATACTGTTGTAGGGTGCGGTGGTGGTAGTAATGGTTTACATAATTTAATGGTGTCCTATGCAGCTACCTCAAATTATCTTGATTATCGTCGTTTAAGTCACTGCTAGTGGGTAGGCTATCCATAAAGTGACGTTATTGTGTACACCTGTGATCGAGCAACATAAGGATTTATTACTCTGGACCTTTTCGCTGTTTTGTAAGTGAAAGCAACAAAAACTCTTTTTTTTAAAAAAAAGGAAGACAATGGTCATCTTTGCAAAGACACATCTCCAAGGACCAACCCTCCAGGACTTATTTGCTTGTCGTGGCGATCTACAACCCAGGTGCTTAAACATACGCCCCAGTAAACATTGTAAAGGACTGCCTGTTGTTTAACCTCAATTTCAGTGGCTTTTGGTGAAATATTTGTGTAAGCGACTGTATCATGTTAGTTTACACTGATCAATTTACGGGTGGTAGGAATATTCCTAAGAGTTCCTTATTTTATTTTAAATGAGGAATGCTGCTACAAAGATTTTAAGTTGATGCCTCTGAACACATTCATTCAAACAGAATTATTTTAGATTTTTTTAAGAGGACACTCGTATGTATTTCAGCATACTTTATAATTGCAAAGCGCTTAAGAGTGCCTGGTTAAATCAGTCTATGGTTTACTAACAAGTAGCAAGTATACTACTCCTGGTTGATGCATGATGGAAGCAGGCAATGCTTTGCTGTTTAATTAGTTTGATTAACCAGATGTTCCAGTGTAATCCTAATCACACCGTGAGGGAGAGGATTAGAATCTAATCACCACTTGAAATATTGTAGGGCCACACGTAAACAAACTCCCTTCAAATAGAAATAGATTGGGCAGTCCTGACAGGTCAACGTTTTAATAGATACGACCGAGGCACAAGTTGTGCGAACTATAATCGCAACTCCTTTACGGTTTTAGGTATGGAAATATTTTTCACATCTTTAATGGCAATTTTCCGCGAAACTTAAAGTCCAGCGCAAGGCTTAGAACTAGGCTATAAGCATTTATAATTACATAATGCACGTTTTACTAAATGTGCCTCTAAAATAAATTATTTCTTAAATTTAGTCCTATTTTAAGCTTTTTCGATCAATGTTTAGGGTCGGTTATCATGACTAGCTAATCAGAAAATCATTCAACTATGCTAAAAGATACTTGATCATTTAATTAACTTGATATTATAGTGGTGACATCGTAGTATGGAATCACAACCCAAATCTTGACTCCTAGAATTCATTGAACAATCATTAAATAGTAAAATATAGGTTATCGTGGAGGGCCTTTGAGAACATGGCGTCAACAACATTATTGTTGGGCATTTTCTGGTAAAATTACATCCTGGAGCACGGCTGTCAAACTATGTGTATCATTGGCATCCATGTTGTAAATAAGCAAATGTTCATTATTTTGAAAAATAACGGGTTCATGCCAATTATTTACTGACGCCCAATTTTTTTCTCAAATTGAACGCAGTTTTCATGCCTTATTCGGTTTGCAAAAGTAAAAACAGATTCAGGACAGGCAGGTGGGTATGTGCATAAAGAGAAATTTATTATAGTCTGCAGTCGGAATTTTGTTTTTTCAAGAGCCAAGTAAAGTTTGAAATCACCCGAAAGTATATGCTCTCGTGTGGGCAACAGGAAATCCAGAAGATGGACAGTTACCAAAAAAACATTTTTTACTGATAGAAGTTTGTTTTTACCAAGTTTTAAACAGAGAAACGCGCAGATTGTATCAAAAGTGTATGTAGCCTCCTTTACTTGATTCAAATTTAGTAGCACTCACATATTGAGATTTGTGCTTATAAGTTTGAAAAAAGAGGCAATCCTGGTAAAAGCGATTCACATGTACACTTCAAGCAAATTGAAACAAAAAGTCAACTTTAAGCAGCATGCAAACTCTGAAAGAATGTTAATGAAATGAATGAATTGTTTCATAAGTGTCCACGCGCATAACTCTTTCAGGAGGACTGGTAACAAGAAAGCCTTCAAGTAGATTGAAAACGTGCCCTGTTTATGAGTTGGGCCGATTTTAATAAATGCATCTCCTTATTTTCACCAGTAAGCCGATTTTACGCGTTACATTACCAAATATCTTAAAAGAGTCTATTTTCTCATATGCCAGTGTGCATCCTGATTGGCTTCAGTAGTACTCTCTGCTTTCCGTGTAAACTTCTGAGGGTTCAATCCCCTATAAACAATTTATATGGTGCTACACGATAGTACAACGCGATTCGGGACATGTTTCAGGTTTTTTAATGCACACATAATTTATAATTAGCACGAAAGTTTGCTTGAATTCCTTTGCAAACCCTGGTTCGTCCGTGCATGTCATCCTCCAATAAACTTTGGCAAATTCTATCCTGTGCGGCTAAAGGAAGTCACCTCGAATACCTTAAACCTCTCCTCTTCAAAAGCCAAAATGTCCCGTGTTGTACGGTGATCCGCTGTGTGGTGCTTAGATATACTGTGACACGACACGCAGTGTTCACATCACTTGAGCGGTCAGGTGTAGGGAGTGGCACTGTGTTGTTATCATCAAGTTTACGCATTCAAGTCATGAAGTACATTAATGCCAAGCTAGTGGTTGCCGTCTGCCTCTATCTTGCAGCGTTACACTTTCCTCGGAAATTGCAAATCAAACCTGGCTCTCTGTTGTTCACATTCCTCCCACAAATCGCCGCCAACCCACAGCCTCAAATTTAGTGCAAAGCTCTAGGCAGTCATATTGCACCAATTTTTTTTCGAAAAATATTTAAGAAGATAAACGTGTGCCCCGAATATATGACTTTTTCATAATATCCTCATAACGAGTTTTTTCATTAAAAGAATGATAATTTAAAAGCGCTTGTACCCTGCCGAAAATGGATTTAAGGTTGCAGTCGTGACCCAGAATGGGAAATTGTTGGGATTGCTTTAGCGGAAATCAGATTCAAATAGCCTGACTAACCATTTTTCGGTGATCATTAACGTCAATTTAATTTCATTAGTTTTATGACTTTTATTTAGGTAAAGTTAATTAATTTTTCAGGTAGGTTTGTGTTATTTTTGTTTTTGCAGAATAATTTGTTATTTTGGTGCCAAAAGAATAAATGTAGGTATTTTCAAACATTGTATCTGATTTGTTGCCCGGTAACGTATAGTAGGAAATGAGAATTGATGCAGAAATTAGGCAATTGAATCACTTACTCAAGACTCATGTTAAAATTCTTATTTCCTTTTTATGATTTGAAGTTAATCAATGGTCATTGACTTTCGTAGGTTTCAGATATCTAATTAAAACTTCATTTTTACTTACATATTCATTTTATAACTTTTGCCTCGAAAACCTTTACCCTAACAGATGGTTACCCTAACAAGTTTTTCATCAGTGCTACTCGAGAAAATTGTGCTGCAACGCGGACAAGCTCTGGCATTTCGCCGGACCTCTCGCCTTCACACAGGTGTCCTGTAAAGAAATCGTCGTTTTGTCCCGCGAGATAAGTTTTGTACTTTTACCATAGAAAAATACACCAATGTGCGCCTTCAATTTGCTGAGATATTAGAGAAGTTAACCAGCAGAAGCTCTCTAACCATGAGTAGACCTCATTTAGAATACTGTAATTGATTTTGACATGTCAGCTGGCCTGAAACATGGTAGACTGTATTTCATCACGATACGCATGACTGAGCCAATGCTATTGTCAAAGTGTTCACAGCTTATTGTGGATTGATTCCTCTCTGGGTTATAATTCCCGCCACCTTTGAGTTATCGGCCGTATTCGCATGAGCTACCTTAGCACACACGTTTTGATTTATAGGTATACGCTTATTTACTAATCGGTTGACAGGACAAGAGTCGAGCAAACTTTATTTCCTAGCACAAAACGGTGCACTCCAAAACGTAGCTTTTATGTTACCATAAGATTGTAATTCCTATATTTTTTTGACTAGAGCAATCATGATTGTTGGAATGTTTTAGGCATACCAATGTTTTGGGAATGTCATCTTAATTTAATGGGTGACTTGAAATATCTGTACCCCCATTAAAGAAAAAAACATTTATATAGATTATGGGCACATTGAAGTTCAAACCACCAGAAAAAAATTAAGCTATCACTTTAAAATACTTTTTAACATAAAGAGTTTAGGTTATGGACAGAACTGCTTACTTTTGTTCATATAAAGTTGTTAGAACAAACTTTTGACGTCACTATGCGATATTTGGTGATCCCGACATTACTTAGAAACATTTTCTGTGAACTATTCCTGGTCCCATGTCAAGATATTCCTCTTTTGTTACTATCATCTGGCTGAAAGCTTTAAGGGATCCAAGAATAGATGCTCCGATCCATGCCGCAAAGTTTCGTTTCTCTGAGCCTATAACCTTGACCTTAATATTTTTAGCCGCCAATCGGGTTATCTCCATTTGCAGACGTGGAATGAGGCCTTCGAACATAGTGCTTCCTCCAGAAAGCACAACACTTTTGTACATTTCGCGTCGTAGGTCGATGTCACAACCCTCGATGGCTTGGTAGGTAGTTTCATGGATGCCGGTAATTTCACGTCCAAGAAGCTCCGGAGTGAACAAAATCTCAGGGGCCAGAAATCGTTCGGTAGACACCCGAAGTACCTGACCATCTGGCATTTCATACTGTCTTTCAACATTCGGTTCAATTTCATACTCTGGCGTCATGGAAACATAACACAAGCGTTCTTTAATATCCCTCACCACTTCCAATTCGGCAGAGGAGACAAGACTGTACCCACGCTTAAGAAGGAGATTTCTTAGGTAGTCTGTAATGTCACGACCAGCAAGATTTAGACGGACCACAAGGTGATGCAATCCATGGCCATCAAATATAGGAACCAAGTGGGTTGCTCCATCTCCGATATCCAAGACAGTGCCGGTTGTTTTTCCTGAGGAGTATAAAGCCATAACAGCCTGGATTGCCACGTACAAGCCAGGAACGTTAAATTTCTCAAACATCACCTCACACATTTTTTCTCGATTGTTTCGTGGATTACGTGGGGCCTCTGTAAGTAAGACAGCCTGATCTTCGGGATGTACTCGTAGCTCATTGTAGAAGGTATGATGCCAGATCTTTTCAATGTCATCCCAGTTTTTTATCACACCGTTTTCAACAGGGTATTGCAAAGTGAGAACGCCACGCATTTGTTGAGCTTCATCTCCAACAAAGTACTCCTGTTTTTTCACACCTAACATCATCTGTGGATTCTTTGGTCGACCAATGATAGAGGGGAAGAGACATACAGGTCTGTCTTCCCCAGCAAAGCCAGCTTTACACAGTCCGGAGCCGACATCAATCACTACTGCTGGATTGCTTGCCATGGTTTTCCTCCAAGTCTATTTGGTTGTATCTACACGACCAGATTCACACTTGTACTGGATCCACCATATTGACAGTGCTGCTTAATTAGATCAAAACCATTCAACTCGCTCCACGTATGTGTGCTCACAGTAAGCACATCTATCGATCGTCACTTTGGCAAGGATCGCTTAAGTAGCTTTTGTGTGATTTTACTTGTCATAAGTGTCGCGGCGTGATGCACTCATGACTAAATATGTAGGAACTACACACCAGCGCATTTAAAGATAGTGCCAAGAACACTGAACCTCACTATTCTGGAGTTCTAATTTACTTGCAAAAACTAAGGAATCGTCATATCTCATTTGTAGTTTAAGTAATTATACATGCGACCTATCAGGCACCCCTTTATGCAAAAAATTCCTATGGGTTCGAAAAGGGGCAAGATTGTTCAATTTCTTAATGAAAACTGCACAAGTTAGATGCTAGGCATTAAAGTAATATCTCAAGGAAAGCTTTTGCAATTCATAATTCAAGTTCATGTTTAACTCATTAACTAGGGATACAGTTAACTCTGAAGTGAAGATAATGTCTCTGATGTCAAAATTCATGCCTTTTGACAGGCCTACAGTGATTCTATTAAAGTTATAGTAAAGACTTAGTTAACTGCAAGTAACCTACGATATAATCAAACTGTAATTGTGAAGGGAATTCAATTTATTACAAAGTAACAGAAGCACACATGTAAGACCTAAAATGTGGGTACGACTGTCAAAAAGTTCTCTACATTTGAAATATTTGAATGAAAAGAAGGCTTTTTAAGAGTTCGCGCCAGAAAACACTAATTTCTAAAAAAAGTCTTTACCCCGCGAACAGTAATCTCATTAGTCTGAACCAACTTTAAGACTGAAAATCAATTTACCTTGTTTATGCAAACGTTTCAGCTACCAAAAGCATATTTAATATTTTTCATTTGTTGACCTCTGCATTTTTCGACCTGAATCAAAATGTGGTGTAGGTGCATGGAAACTAAAGTCTTAGATATCAGTATTTTAATAATGTAAATATTCGATGAATTAATGGCACAAATGGCAAGCCCACATCAAAAAAGGACTTTACTTTTTCGATTAATTAGCCATGAAAGGAAGTTAGCAATACTGTGTTTTCCTGTCTTCCAGAAACCTTCAAAAAAGGCAGTAGTGCTGCGTTCTTTATTGTAGAACAAAATAAATTACACAGTACAAATTTAGGGTGTATATTTTTGACAAAATTTTGCATCAGAGACTTTTATCATGAGCTGCTTTTATTTTGATTTTTAGGCCAATATAAATACAAAAACCTCACACCTTTAAGTGACGATTCCGCACGAAACCAACCAAATTGAGGTGAGCTATTCAACAATATACCTGGGAAGTTAACAAGACGTCGTTCTATTTAAATACTACAGAATTTAAATTTTAAGGAAACTAACTAATTCAAACGACAGGCTGTCCATATTCCACCAAGACACTATGAAGAAATTCATAGTTTTATAAAGAAAACGCACACAAAGCACTTAAATAAATCATTTCACTGGTTTGGAAATTATAAGCAGCAATTTATAAATTTTTTTAAATCAAAATCAGGCGGTGGAATCTGTAATTAGTTAAAATGACTGTAATCGAGGGTTTATAATTGCTCTTTACTGAGTGCTTCTCTACATGTGAGCTCAAAAAATCGAGCTGCTAAATTTGTGCTTTTGTAGGCCTAAACATGTTCATCAATGCGAACATTTTTTTTAAATAAGGTCTACTTTGCGAAATCGCTAGAGGCTGATTAAGGCCGTGGTCGCTAGCTGCTGGCAGCTGTCAAAGTTTAGGGCTTGGGTCATGTAGTGCTATCCAAAATATGCAAACTTACGTCGTTTTTAAATACTTTATCTGCTGTATGTGGTTCATCAACTCGTTTGCTAAATAACCGTTGATGATAACGAACAATCTACGCTGAACTTTATTAAATAGTTTAGCCCGAACACTTGTATGTGCTTATATACCGATAGGTATCAAAATCTGATTCTACTTTTCCAGATTTATAAACTGATCCCTCTGTTTACCGATAAAACTGGGAAAAACAGCATTTACCAATTGATTAGGATGTTGTTATTTTTGTCTGATAATCCTTTATAGCTTAATTCTAGGAAACTTACACAGGCTATCTGAAAACCCAAACAATGAACATAGATGCCTGTCAAACTTAATGTTTGGCCGATTATCTGTTTCTTGAAAGCATTTCGCCTGATTCCCGCGAAATACTGACTATCCTGAACTTCAATTTGCCGTCAGATTTTTCCTGAAATTCCAAAGAGGTCAAAAACAGCAAAATCGAGTCTAAAAATTCCCTTTAACTTACAATTTGGCAAGCGATTAAGAAACAATCGTCGTTATCTAGAATATGTGTAAATGTTACACGCAATTAGGTTGAGACTGCATGCATAATTATCTTGCATTCGAGCACTCACATTTGAGTGTGTGCATTTATGTTTAAGGTCATATGCATTCATGGATAAAACATATGGTTGGAAATCCTGATATTATGATCAATCAAAAGTGTAACAGTGTTAGTAATCACCTTTTACCAGCTTTAGTAATTTATTGAGGTCCATGCTAACTGCTTTATTCTGCAAAATTTGTGGGATTTTCTTTATACTAATCCCTACGATTGATTTAACCTAGCCACTTCGATAAATGTCAGGACCAAAACTGAAAGAATGGCGAGAACTGATATCCTCGAAGGTACTTTCGTGGATTTTTTAACTCTACCCGGAGTAGAAGGCACGTTATTGTGGTGAAAAACATCTTTAACATCGGCTAACTTCCCCTCAAAAGGCTTCTGAATGCCTCAACGGTCCTTTCACCAAATTGAGTAACAAACATTCATCCATATGGATAGTGGATAAAATCGATTTAGTTTGTAATCGTTCAAGGCTTTTGGGAACTGAATCACGGGCTATACTAACATAAATTTACCATCAAAGGCACTCTGACGTTCTTGGTTTACCTCACTTAGAATATGCACACCAGTCTCTTCACTTGCTGTCGTTTCTAGTCTTTTTCTGTTATTATTTTGCCCATTATGCACTTTTATTTCTAATCACCTAACTAAATCTTCAAAAACTCTTTAAGATGGAGCAAAACAGCCTCAAGTATTACAGCATTCTGACTAGTTGAATTAATTCTTCATTGTGATTTGAATGATGGTCATTCTAGGCAACCAATACCCCTTCATTGAGAGTCTTTCATTTCGATTCTTCATTATATTTTTGCACAGTCATGAATTTGCACAGCTATTCGTGTTGAGTAAAATATAATTATCATAAACAAAATTAGTGTCCATTTTGATGTTTCCCGCACAAATTGGATTGGCGCAGTAAATTTCATCTAATGGCTTATCTTCAAACTACGCTGCAGGTTTCTGCAAATTCTACATTGCGCCAAAGGTGCATTAATTTATTGGTGCATTTTCAGATAATGAAAGAATTGAGGTTAGGAAAAATACTTTAAACGAACATAAGCAACTGAACGACATTCATCTTGGTGGCCGGCAGGTTTGACAAGGAAGCCGAAAAATAAAAATCCCGAATAACACGATATGCCTAGATGCAGCACAAGTTTTAGGCAAATCTGTTTGAATATTGGTTAATAAAAGCAATTTATTTTGCATTTATAAAAAACTTAGTTGCTCTTGGGAAATATCTATCCAAGTGGTGTAAATAAGATCTCATTGATGGAATTTGTGCTTACGTGATGGCTTTAAAATAACCTAAACATCACCGTTCGCGATTTGAATTTGGTTCCCTGAATGACATCTTTGAACATCCCCTGCCTTTTCGTGTGAGAATACGAATTCTAGCGGGTATCTTATTATATGTACGCATGTTTTGCCATTTAGCATGTAAGGAAACTTTTTTTCAAAAAGCTTTTCTTTCTATACATAAAAAACTTTTAATTAGCAAATGTCTAATGAAGTTATTCGATTAGGATGGTTTGAGTAGGGTTCACGGTGATTGTGTGTGTGCAGAAACTATTTCACTTTAGAATGCTTGTGTATTGGGTCTTACCTTTTTTGTGACTTGTCTTCTGTCCATGTATTATTTTTAAACAGAGCCACTTTTACCGTTCCCATGTCAAAGTCTTTAAATTGATTTCCAATGCCTGCTTACAGCATTGTAATCAAACCAATGATTAATTATTTTTGAAGCAAATTTCAAAGTTATAAATTCTTGATTCAAGTTTATCAAGCTTAATGGACAGACACATAGGTTAGAAAATACATATATCGATGTAATAATAGTTAACTTGGTCTAATATCACATTACATTGGCTTGACGGCAACACATTGCTTACAAAACTTAAATACTTAAGCTCAAACAGGTGCTAACTCTCTGCCCACTATCTCGAGAAAACTCAAATAATTATTGCATGCGTAATATTAGATTGCGGATACCGTTAAGTAAGTAGGGCAACCATATTTCAACTAGAATATAAAATTCTACATCTCTTCAAATAGATGTTTTAATTCCCACTTAGTCTGGAAGACATAAAAGGATATGAATTGCGAGCATTACTGAGTTGTGCAATAGAAAATTTGTTTTAGTAAATGGAAAGGAGAAAACGACTGCCCAATTAAGATTTTTTGATGCGCTGTTTGATCTAGTTTTACAATAATTTCAAATTCATTCCTTTGCATCATTCTTGTTGAATTAAGCATTCTTTTACTGAATAATTTTGAACTGGTTTTGAGTAACTGGATGATAGAGCCAAGATTACCTTCAGTTAATGCAAAAAAATACTTCTGCGTTTCTTTTTATTTCAACAATGCAAAGCAATGGAAAGCATGTGTCACATCGTTGTCTGGATTATAAATTGTCTAGAAAGTTCACCATACTCACGCATGTTACAATGCATTGCACATGTTTAACACACAAATTAGCGACCTACTAACCACATTTTTATTGTTATTTACTAAATGAAGTAACTGACTTAAG